TCGCTGCGCGACATGGAGAGGCGAAGCCGAGGTCGCGTAGTCCGTGGTAGGCTGCGATTTGCAAGACAGCCCGCAGGGTTGCGCGGCAAATCTTTATGCAGCCGTAGAGCCATCTGAGAGCAAATACGTAGCAGGCGAAGCGTGCGAAGTGTTTGTGACGGGGGCGGCCACGGCAAAAGTAATTGGCCGTCGCGTCATTTTTGCCGATTTTCGGGGGCAGGGACGGCCGAAAATCTTTCGCAAAAATAGCGACGCTATCGACTTACTGATGAGTAACTCTATACACCCCGGCACACCGCTTAAAATAGCATAGTGTAAGGCGCTACGCCCTTTCTTATCACACGCTTTAGGGTCATCGGTAAGTCTCGATGACAAAATCGAGGGCACTAGGATTGCCACTTGCTGCAGCGAAGTGTAATACACTTCGACCGTAGATATCTTGCGCATGTGCATTTTGGGGCCATGTGCTTTGTATGTATTCCATCATAGCCACATTACCTGTCCAGGCAGCATGATGAAGTAAGGTTTCGTCGATGTATGTAGGGTCTGTGTTGAATCCATGTATTTTAACTAAGTGGCTCAAACAAGCTTCGCTATTGATCCAAATAGCAAAATGAATTGGGTTTGCAACTTCAAATGTAGTATCTTGGTGAGATAGCTCGTAAGCGATACTTTAACTACATGCTCGACTTATGAAAGATCTATGTTCCAAGGTAATAATGCCTCATAGTCAGCCACTTCCTGGCAGTGCGGAATCTTTTTTAGCAGTGCATGATAATATTGATAAGGATCTAATCCATTAGCGATAGTCGATCTTATTAAGCTCATATGCATGCAAATAGCGTGCGCGCCAGCTACTGAATAAGCAAACATAAAATTCTTACGTGCAATAACGACAGGCTTAATCTCACGCTCCGTATGATTATTGTCAATTTCTAAACGACCATCCTCTAGGTAGCGACACAAACCCGCTTCATACTTAATCGCATAAGCAAAGGCTTTACCTAACGATGACTGAGGCAAAACAAGTGCTTGGTGTTTTTTAAGCCAGCTATAAAATTCATCCATGATAGGCTTAGCATGCTCTTGTCTATATTGATAACGTTGCTCAGCTGTCATGTTGTTATTTTTGCATATCGCTCAACTCTGTAAAGCTTCTTATAATAACGTATTGCTTCATGCGCTAATCCATTCTTCTTGGCCAGCTTCTTGACCTGCTCAAAACGGCGCCTTGCATGCGCATTACAGTAACTGGGTAACACGTTAGAATCAGCAAGCAGCGCGCTGAAGAAAAAATCAGCATCCATATGAATGCAGCCACTAAATCCTTCCAGCCATTCATCGACGAATTGCTTTTGTTTCAGTGCATTGTAACTGTATAAAATAGCTGGCATATCTGGCGGCCCGCCTCGCAAGCAATAAAGATACGACTTGCGTTTAGCTGGGCGCCCAGGCTCATTTAAAACCTGTAGTGTTGTGGCGTCAATACTCGCGATATTATAATCGATAATGTGATCTTTCATGAGATTAAAAACAGGTTGCAAGGGCGTTACCAACTGAATCATCCAGCTTGCCATGGTTTTACGTGACATCTCGACTGGGTGACCATATTTCTCTAAATGGTATAACGGTTGCCTGTTATAAAACTTAGAAACAACAACATGCGCTAGCAGCGATTCAGTCGCTTTAACTTTAGGCAGTACATGTAAAGGCGCTGCTGCGGTTTGAATCGTACCACAACCTTTTGGGCACGCAACCACCTCGCGTCGTTGCTCAACGATACGGAAAACAGCTGGTATGTAATCAAATAATTCTTTTATCTCATGGCGTATTACTTTTTTCATGCAGCCACATGAGCATTGCTTCTCGTCATCAGGTACAGGAATGATTTCAATGATGCGTGGGTACTGTGATAGACCCTTTTTCTTTTTAACCTTGCGCGTATGTGCCAGTATGTTAATCTCGGCATGCTCTTCTGGCTCTACATGGCTTGCCGTATTATCCTCAATGAAGAAATCGCCCTGAGGATCGTTGGGATCAATGTCGCGTTCTGACTGTGTGCCAAAACGATGACGTAGTAAATTCTGGAGTTGTTGATATAAACAGTCATAAGCCTGTTTAGATTGTTCAAGCTGATGTTTAAGTCGATTAATTTCTTCAATTTGGTTTTCGAATTGCTTTTGTGAAAAATTCATACGAATATTAAAAGAATGTAAAACACAAATATACTATAACATAGCTGTTATAGCACTTTTTATTCTAAACTTTAACAAAAATAACCAGCATCTACCTTTGGCAGTGAATGATGCCGTGTAAAATCTAAACCTGATAATAACCAAGTTAGCTGGTCTCTCGTTATCTCCATAACACCACTTGTGTTGAGAGGAAATAATAGCCTTCCTTTTTCAAGGCGTTTGTAGCATAACCAAAAGCCGTTTTGGTCGTACCACAATAATTTTATTTTTTTAGCGGTACGATTCCGAAAGATAAATAGCTCACCAGACGTGGGGTTCAACGATAACTCTTCAGCGATTAGTATCACAAGCCCATCAATTTGTTTTCTAAAATCGACTGGTCTTGGATAAAGCCAAATAGGCGTCTTGTAGGAAATATTCAAGGTAGTAACGCCTGTAGAATACTTGGTAATAAACTAGCGTCATGCACTGATATTGCATGGCCATTGTGAAGCTCTATGCGACACAGTGACACGCCTGATTTTAGCTGTACTGGAATAAGCTTCGTATTCTTTTTGATTGGATAGGCTTTCCTATAGTGATAGAGTAAGATGCTATACTTCAACGTATGCTGCTTGCTGTAAGCTTTGATTGTTAAACCGCTTGCCTTGCAGTGTTCGACATGTTGCCGCCATTGATCTGCTGTTAATAATACCTGTTCTGACATTGGCAATGCCTCCTAATATAAACACCCTGGAAGTCTGACAGAAAAAAATACGCTTTATAAGAATGTAGTTGTTGAATCGCTTACGATATCTCTGGGGCTTTGAGCATCGTGTCATCAGGTGTATCTGGAAACAACGTTTTTAGAAATTGAGTATCTCTCGCAAGAGCTGCTTGAGTATCAGGGTCTTGCAAGTTAAGAGCCGGCATTGGTACTGGAGGCAAACAAACCACTTTTTCTAACATATTTAACTTGCCGCTGAGTGCGGCGAGTTGAGCTAATGTGTATCCAATCGATCCGCCAGTCAAACCAGTTTGCGATACTTCATTATAATACCAGTCAAAAAGAGTAGGGTTGCCACCTAATACTGCATAATCGATGAAATGAAAGCCATAAGCATCTCGTCCGGGAGCGAGAGTAAATCCATTGCATAGGTAATAAAACCGAATAGATAGACAGCTTACCTCATCACCGCTTAATAATGCGTAGTGATAAGGTGATCGACCAAAACAATCCATGAGCATGCAGCTTTCGGGGTGAGCGACAAAGAAATTCCGAACGAAGTGATTGCAGCCACTCCATGCGACAAAATGAGCGACGCCTAAGCTTTCCCCAGTGCGTAGTGAGTGCATATCGCGGCCTTGTTCATTGCAAAACTTTTCGAGAGCTTGTTTATTACCTGATAACGCAAGTAATGCCCAAAGTGGTAGATCGCTATGCCCAGCAAAGCGTCCCATGCTATTGCCATGAACTTTTTCTGCTAATAGCACAAGGTCAGTACCTGGCTGCCAAATACTACATACGATAGCGTCGCTATTTTTGCGAAAGATTTTCGGTCGTCCCTGCCCCCGAAAATCGGCAAAAATTACGCGACGGCCAATTACTTTTGCCGTGGCCGCCTCCGTCACAAACACTTCGCACGCTTCGCCTGCTACGTATTTGCTCTCAGATGGCTCTACGGCTGCATAAAGATTTGCCGCGCATCCCTGCGGGCTGTCTTGCAAATCGCAGCCAACCACGGACTACGCGACCTCGGCTTCGCCTCTCCATGTCGCGCAGCGAATGTAGGCAGGTGATTTTGCGGCACATCAGCGACCAATCGAGTTTAAACTCACGAACCCATGCATTGATATCAGAGGGTGGACTGTCGGGATTGAGACGATAAGGTGTTTGTATTGTGCTTGGTAAGCGATAGAGCGTAATTCTTTCTGTAAAAAAATCTGTGAATTCTCTGAGACCTTCACTTAAGTCTAAAAGTTCATGTGTTTTCACAAAGCACTTGAGGATTGTAAAACATCTTGAGCTCAAAAAAAAGATAATAATAATTTTTTTAAGCTCTCTAAAAATATACCAACTATTTTCAAAAGCAACTCGTAGCAGTGCACTGCGATTCATTTAACAGTAAAAAATAGCGTTATTGTAACGGTTGCTTTGAAGTTAAATATTTACTTCCTTGACTCCATTTTTCATCAATCTCAATTAACACTGCAGAAACCAGCCTTAAACATGAATCTGTATTTGGGAAAATACCTACGACGTTGGTTCGTCGCTTTAGCTCTTGATTGGTTCGTTCAGGCATATTAGTTGTGCGCAAACGCTTCTGATGACGCATATCAAAGGACATAATGGTTAACCCTTGAGGAATATTTTCATCCATCCAAGTAGATAATTTAGGCGCTGAATCTTTGTATTTCTCTACTGTCATCTGCAAGAGACGCTTGGCTTCATTAGCATTTGGCGCATCGAATACAGCTCGAATATCAGAAGCTACAGATTCTTTCATCGATTTCTTAGGAACATATCCTTGTGCATTATGTTGTAAATCGAATTGGCATCGTTGCCACTTAACACTAGGAAATACAGCTTTTCTAGCTGCGCCAAGACCAGAATGACAATCGCTAATGATGAGCTCAAGTCCATGCAGCCCACGTGATACCAGGCTCTGAAAGAACTCACGCCAATGCACTTCAGCTTCAGATAAAGCTACAGACACACCGAGCACACGTCTTTTTCTTTCATCATCTAGCCCATAAGCTACTAAGACGGCACTATCAACAACAGAGCCACCATGGCGTATTTTTTCATAGCGCGCGTCTACCCACAAGTATTTACATGCACCGAGTTTTCGACTGCGCCATTTTCCGGCTCAGCATCAAGCATTTTGGCGCAATTACTCACCTCGGAGCTGGATACTTTAGTACCGCACATTTGTTTAA